CACGGGAGGCTGGGGGGGAACCACATCCCAGGGGAACCGGAGTCTCACGGACACGGGAGACTGGGGGGAACCACATCCCAGGGGAACCGGAGTCTCACGGACACGGGAGGCTGGGGGGGGAACCACATCCCAGGGGAACCGGAGTCTCTCACAGATACGGGAGGCTGGGGGGAACCACATCCCAGGGGAACCGAAGTCTCACAGACACGGGAGGCTGGGGGAACCACATCCCGGGAGAACCGGAGTCTCACAGACACGGGAGGCTGGGGGGGAACCACATCCCGGGGGAACCGGAGGCTCCACGGAAACGGGAGGCGGGGGGGAACCACATCCCGGGGGAACCGGAGTCTCACGGACACGGGAGGCTGGGGGGAACCACATCCCGGGGGAACCGGAGTCTCACGGACATGCTGAGACCTCAGATCCTATCCCAAGAGCAGTGGGAAGCATGGGGATGCTTCAGGATCCACTCTGTAGCCGTCCAAGAACGAATACTTCTAGAACATTCCCTCCCTCCCTTCCTCCTTCCTTCTCTCTCTCTCTCTCTCTTTGTGAGACAAGGTCTTGCCCTAATACCCAGGCTGGAATGCAGTGGCACGATCACAGCTCACTGTAGCCTTGAACTCCCAGGCTTGGGCAATTCTCCCACCTCAGCCTCCCAAGTAGCTGGAACTACAGGCACACAACTGCTCATATTGTGTATTTTCACTGGAAAGGGGGTCTCAAACTCCCAGGCTCAAGCGACCCTCCCACCTCGGCCTCCCAAAGTGCTGGGATCACGGGCAGGAGCCACCGGGGCTTTTTAAGTTGTCTCTATTGTATTATATTTTTTTATTATTTTCTGAAATGGAGTCTCACTCTGTCACCAGGCTGGAGTGCAGTGGCACAATCTCAGCGCACTGCAGCCTTCGCCTCCTGGGTTCAAGGCATTCTCCTGCCTCAGCCTCTTGACTGGCTGGGATTACAGGCACGTGCCACCACGCCTGGCTCATTTTTGTATTTTTAGTAGAGACAGGGTTTCACCATGTTGGCCAAGATGGTCTGGATCTCTTATGATCTGCCCACCTCGGCCTCCCAAAGCGCTGGGATTACAGGTATGAGCCACTGTGCCCAGCCTCGTTTTTTTATTTAAAATAAAAAATTGGGGTTTTTTTGCTCCTAAGCCAAGTGGCTAACATTTCTTCTTAATTTGCACTCACAGTGAAGTACGAAGGCCAGAGCTGCCTGACCCCAGGGCTCACTTCTGGCATCTGCTGAGACAGCCCCTCCCCAGACAGTGATGACAAGAGGTCACATGGAGCCCTGCTGAGAAGGACCCCGAGAGGGGACTCACCACCCGGGGAAGCGAGACAGGCACACAAGGCTGGAGCAGTACACGGAGCAGTCATGGTGCCAGCATCATGCATCGCACACAGTCATGTGTGTACACACACGGACACATATGCACACAGTGCCCCCGAGAGGGGACTCACCACCTGGGGAAGCGAGACAGACACACAAGGCCGGAGCAGCACATGGAGCAGTCACGGTGCCAGCATCATGCATTGCACACATGCATGCACACACACGTACACATATGCACACACACAAAGTGTGAGGACAGCCACGACAGGAAGGGGCACACCTGGCTACAAAACCCCCCAGAGCAGGCAGGACCAGAGTGTGCCACTCCTGGCCCCTCGGCAAGTTTCTGGACAACCTCCTACATTTCCAAGTCTTTCTACTGCCCCTGTGCCCGCCAGCAAACCCCAGAAAGTTTTCTAGGTTCATCTGTATCCCCCTCCCAAGGAGCCAGCACCCTGTCCACTCCACACGTGCTAGGCATCAAGCAGAATTTCCCAGGCTGAAATGCAGAAGGAAGCAACCATAAAATCACACAACTGAAAGTTACAAACCCTCGTCATTCCACTCTCCTTGAGAGTTTAGTATATTTAAAAGAAAACATCTGTTACAGTCCCTCATTTTTACCCACCTTAAAATTCAGCATCTAACTTGCTGGTCCTCCTTGGTTTCTTCATGCTTACCTAGCACATTAGGTGGGTCAACCTCATGTCAACCTCTTAAACACCAGCAAACAAAAAATGGTGCAAATACTTTTACTAAAGCTCACAAAAAAAGGAAGGGGGTGTGCCTCCCCCCGTGTCTGAACAGCTGACCTGACTGTGAAATACACTCACCTGGGGAAGGTATCCACAGCACGTCACCACGTCAAATCCAAACCGGTCCACAAACGGCCGTTCCTCCTGCCCACCTCCCCTCCCTTCCAGGCAAAAGAAAAAAAGAAGAAAAATGAGTTAGTTCCAAGGGATCCCAGCCACCGCTCTCGAAACTGAGTCACCTTCAGACACAACCTCAGTGAACTCCTACAAGCTTATGCCCCCACCAGAGACAAACAGGGCCTGGGTCTCCACCAACCCACAGAACACCCGAAACAGGGCCTGCTCCAGCACGTTGGCATCAAAGACACTAGCTGCTCCCGAGGAGTGGCACCAGAGGACACAGACAGGACAGGGAGCTCACAGGCACCTCTCAGGTGACCTGTCTCACATCCCAACAGGACACATGGGGCCGAGGGGGAGGACCACGCACTGTCAGGAAAAAAAATAAGAGGAAGGCCCTCTTAAAGAGGAAAAAGATACTTTGGGAGACTGAGGTGGGCGGATCACCTGAGGTCAGGAGTTTGAGAACACCTGGCCCAACATGGTGAAATCCCATCTCTACTGAACATATAAAAATTAGCTGGGTGTGGTGGCAGGCACCTATAATCCCAGCTACTTGGGAGGCTGAGGCAGAAGAATCACTTGAACTCAGGAGGAAAGGTTGCAGTGAGTCGAGATCGCGCCATTGCACTCCAGCCTGGGCGACAAGAGTGAAACTCCGTCTCAAAAAAAAATAAATAAATAAAAAATAAAAAGCAGGCCAGGCACCGTGGCTCACACCTGCAATTCCAGCACTTTGGGAGGCCAAGGCAGGCGGAGGTTGCAGTGAGCCAAGATTACACCACTGCACTCTAGCCTAGGGGAAAAGAGCGAGACTTCCTCTCTAGATAGACAGATAGATAGATAGATAGATAGACAGATAAATAAATAAATAAATAAAATAAAGAAGAAAAAGAATCTGCCCCCAATCCATCAGGAGGAATGGCTCTCAGTGGCAGATCTGCTGCCATGTGTGCCAGACAGACTCCTGTGCTTTGAAATAATCTCAGGCTGGGCATGGTGGTTCACGCCTGTAATCCAAGCACTTTGGGAAGCTGAGACGGGTGGATCACCTGAGGTCAGGAGTTCAAGACCAGCCTGGCCAACATGGCGAAACACCCTCTCTACCTGTAATCCCAGCTACTCGGGAGGCCAAGGCAGGAAAATCGCTTAAAACCAAGAGGCGGAGGTGGCAGTGAGCCGACATAACGCCCCTGCAATCCAGCCGGGCAATAAGAGCAAAACTCCATCTCAGAAAAAAAGAAATCATCTCACTCCTCTGCAGTCTCCCTAACCAAGGGAAATCCCAATGGACTAAACCCTCTGAGATTAGAAGGGACAAGACAGGGAGCCTGAGGGCCTCTCAGTGGATGTCACCAGACAGGTGGCCTGGGGGGCGCCCGTCATGGACCCTCACAGAACAGACTGTCCAGCTGCATGCCTCATACAGAAGATCCTTAGTTATCTGCTCTGATTGGCAGCTCGTCTGCCTCACATTTACCACATGGGCTGCACAGATTCTGAATGTCAGCAGATTAAAATACCGGAAAATCCCCTCAATCCTGACAGCGCATTACACTCCAGAAAGGTCAGATAGGACGGCTGTAATTCTGAGCCTCAAATATGACTGTTTTACAAGGAGAGACCCTGTGCTTAAAGGTCTTGCTCTTTAAACATAGCCAGAGGACCTCTGCTTAGACTCATCTGGGGAAGGAGAGGTAAAAGCAACTGTAACACCAGGGAAGGTCTCGTGTCCAGCAAACGTTTTCCGTATTTCGAATGCATTTAGGACACACACTCATCACATTCAGTGCTCAGTGCACTGTGAGATGCGGCTCAGGGCTGACGTTCCTTTGCTCTGGTATCATCACACATCTGACCCTCCCACGGCTGCTGCACAGCCCCACCTCCGAGCCCACACTGGCTCAACGTTCTCCTCTAAACAGGAGCACCACAGCAGCGCAGCACCATACCCACTGTGCCCGCCTCTTTCAGGAGCGTCTCTCCATGCTTCTTGTTCTCAAGGTGCAAATCGGCCAGCTGGGCTCCAAGCTTTGCAGCATGACTGTCAAAGCAAAAGGCAGCAACTAAACAGATGACACGCAGAAAGGCAAGACACACTCACCACTCAGTCTCAGGGCACATAAAGAGGGGCAAACTTTTATTTTTTTGAGACGGAGTCTCACTCTGTCGCTTAGGCTGGAGTGCAGTGGCACGATCTCAGCTCACTGCAACCTCTGCCTCCTGGGTTTAAGTGATTCTCATGCCTCAGCCTCCCGAGTAGCTGGGACTAAAGGTGCACACCACCATGCACGACTCATTTTTTAAATTTTTTTAGTAGAGACAGGGTTCCACAATATTGGACAGGCTGGTCTCGAACTCTTGACCTCATGATCCACCTGCCTCAGCCTCCCAAAGTGCTGGGATTACAGGCATGAACCACCACACCTAGCCTGTTTTTTTGTTTTATTGAGATGGAGTCTCGCTCCACAGGCCAGGCTAGAGTGCAGTGGTGTGATCTTGGCTCACTGCAACTTCCGCCTCCTGGGTTCAAGCCATTCTCCTGCCTAGGCCTCCCAAGTAGCTGAGACTATAGGCGTGCACCACCACGCCAAGCTAATTTTTGTGTTTTTAGTAGACATAGCGTTTCACCATGTTGCTCAATCTCTTGAACTCGTGATCCACCCACCTCAGCCTGCCAAAGTGTTGGGATTACAGGCATAAGCCACCATGCCCGGCCAAACATTCCGGTTTTTTTTGAGACAGGGTCTCGCTCTGTTGCCCAGGCTGAGTGCAGTGGCATGATCTCAGCTCACTACAACCTCCACCTCCAGAGTTCAAACCATTCTCCTGCCTCAGCCTCCAGAGTAGCTGGGATTACAAGCACCCACCACCACGCCTGGCTAATTTTTTGTATTTTTACTGTGTTGGGGTTTTACTGTGTTGGCCAGGCTGGTCTCAAACTGCTGACCTCAAGTGATCTGCCTGCCTCAGCCTCCCAAAGTGCTGGGATTACAGGGGTGAGCCACCGTGCCCAGACAGTAGGTTGAAAATTTTGAGGACAGAAAGCATGAGGGGGATAAAGGTGCTGATTATTTGACAATCTTTCCCAGCCTCATTCAAGTTTGCAGCAGGGTTTTTCGTTTTTGAGTCTGAGTCTCGCTCTATTACCTAGGCTAGGCTGCAGTGGTGTGATCTCAGCTCACTGCAACCTCTGCCTCCCAGGTTCAAGTGATTCTCATGCCTCAGCCTCCCGAGTAGCTGGGACTACAGGGGCGCACCACCATGCCCAGCTAATTTATTTTTACTAGAGACAGGTTTCACCATGTTGCCCAGGTTGGTCTCAAACTCCTGACCTCAAGTGATTCACCTGCCTCGGCCACCCAAAGTGCTGGGATTACAGGCATGAGCCACAGCGTCCGGCCCACAGCAGGGTCTTGGTCAGTATCCCACTTTGGGAGATTCCTCTTGCTACTGCCCTTGGTTGCAGGAAGCGCCTGCTGTTCCTTCTGCAGAACTCATGATATGTGGAGTCATGGGGTTCCTGTGTCACACCCCTCAAAATGGTGCCCCCAGTACAAGCTTCAGTTATCAGAGAACCACTTGGTGGGAAATAAAGCCAGCTGGGGCCGGTGTGAAGATGCGCCGGCTCAGATAATAAAGCCAGCGTGGGTGGGGGGGATGGTGTGAAGCCAGCAGGAGGGTGGTATGAAGACCCACCTGCTCAGATGCCTCATGTCCACGTGCTCCATCACCAGCACGCTTCCGCCGCCTGGGGCATCCAGAACCTTGATGGGCTTGGGCACTCTCACTGTGTTTGTTTTCAGGATGGCAGTTAAACTTGCCATCTCCCCTTCAAACATTCTTCTGGCCTGTCAGAAAAATAACAGAAGCAGGGGAAATGGAGGGAGGCAAGGTTAGTTCTGGAAAGGTTCTGTAGATATGTTTTCCTCTAGCATTATAACTTCACACCAAAGCTATCCTGACTGAGGATTCCATAGACATGGACAGTGTTTTCAAAGGCACTTGTCCACAGCACAGGCTGCAGGGTCAGACGCTGTACTGGAAGAAGAGGGCTTGTGCTTTCTGGTATTGGACTATACTCCTATAGTGCTATGGTTGAATCGGAGGTTGTCCGGAGAGAGGAACGTCAAAGGCACTAATCCACTGAGGTCTGGCAAACAGCGGACTGTGAATGTGGGTTACCAGTCAGTATCCTCATACACCTCAACTCCAGTCCTGTTCCACCTGTAGGACACATGCTCACCTGGCCTCTCAGGTGCAGGCGGCACCCTGACTGCGTATGCCAGTGACCTGGGGTCGCTTTTCACCTGAACAGACCACCAAGTCCTATGCTACCTCCTGCCTAGCACTGGAAACCATCTCATCTTGAGACGTCCTTTCCATCTGACTCCCCAGGACTACAGGGGTCCCCCTGCTCACCACATGGCAGTGATCCCTAAAGAAGAGGTCAGGGCCGGCCGGGCACGGTGGCTCACGCCTGTAATCCCAGCACTTTGGGAGGCCGAGGTGGGCGGATCATGAGGTCATGAGATCAAGACCATCCTGGTCAACATGGTGAAACCCCGTCTCTACTAAAAATACAAAACATTAGCTGGGCATGGTGGCGCGTGCCTGTAATCCCAGCTGCTCAGGAGGCTGAGGCAGGAGAATTGCCTGAACCCAGGAGGCGGAGG